CGCCTACCACAGGGTGCCCGGTGGCCCACGGCGTGGTCTCGGGCTGTGACTCACCGACCACGGTGGGGCCTCCAGCTGGCCGTGCCGTCACAGCAGGGCCCGGCAGCCGCAGCCCCAGCCCCAGCCCGCTCACCGGCCCTGGTCTTCCTGGCAGCGTCACCCGCAACTACCTGGACTGGCTCACGTCCATCCCCTGGGGCAAGTATAGCGACGAGAACCTGGACCTGGGCCGCGCCCGGGCTGTGCTGGAAGAGGACCACTACGGCATGGAGGATGTCAAGAAGCGCATCCTGGTGAGTGCTGGCCTCTGCGGCCCCGGGCTGGTCAGTGCGGTGCTCGGGGCCAGCGGGGTGAGGGTGGAGGGGAGGACCACTCGGCCCACGGGGAGCAGCCCGGGGTGGGTCAGCAGGGGCAGCTGAGTGCCTGGCCAGCCTGCCCGCTCGGGTTGGCAGACAAACCCTGTGGGTGTGGTCATGTCCATGCCCTGCATCGGGAGGTGGGGGAAGCAGCGCAGAGGCTCGGGCTGGTGCGGGGGGCACGTTGGGTCCAGGCTGTGGGGCAGCTGCACCCTGGCCTGGTGGGTACCCGAGGTCTCCTGGCCCCAGGTGGGCTGCTGTCCTTGCCGTCCCTGTGGCCTTTGGGACAGTCTGGGCCTCGCGAGCCCCGGGACCCCAAGAGATGGTACAAAGGTGGTGAGGCCCATTCCCAGGCTCCCCGGGAGCGAGGGTGGCCAGCACCCCATGTGCCCCACTGAGCCTGCGTCCCCACAGGAGTTCATCGCAGTCAGCCAGCTGCGAGGCTCCACCCAGGGCAAGATCCTCTGCTTCTACGGCCCGCCCGGCGTGGGCAAGACAAGCATTGCCCGCTCCATCGCCCGCGCCCTGAACCGCAAGTACTTCCGCTTCAGTGTCGGGGGCATGACGGACGTGGCCGAGATCAAGGGACACAGGTAGACCAGCCTTCCCTCAGGCCTTTCCTCCTCTAAATCAGCTCTTAGGCGAGGAGAGCAATTTGGGTTGTGCACAGTGAATCCCGCTGTCCGCAAAATGAGGAACTGAAAAGCCAGGAATGGGGTGGGCTTCAGGCCCAGCTGGCTCCAGGCACTCACACCAATGGCAGGGTTGGCTGCTTCGCAGCCCACGGGCAGTTCTCTTGAGCAGGCCTTTAGCAGGTGGTCTGCATGGCAGAGCCAGGGCTCTCAGAGTGTCACTGTCTGGTGGGAGGAGCCGGCTGGGGGCTGCCTGGGGGGGGGCGGGGCCTAGCTGCAGGAGGCCGTGGCAAGGCAGCCGGCATGGTGTGGCGTGTGGTGTGGGGCTTCCCATTGCCTGTGTAGGGGCTCCGGGTGTGGTCCCGAGTTGGGGAGTCGCCACCCCAGCTCGCTTTCCCATAGGCGGACGTACGTGGGGGCCATGCCTGGGAAGATCATCCAGTGCCTGAAGAAGACCAAGACGGAGAACCCCCTGATCCTGATAGACGAGGTGCGTGGCCCCTGCGGCAGCCGGCCCTCCCAGCACACGGCCCAGGCCGGTCTGTGCCCGCTGGGTCCCGAGTCCCAGGGCGGCCCGGCTGCCCCTGCCCCCGTGTGGCCGGACCGGCCCTCGGGTACTCTGATGCCCCCGGTCCTCTGCTGCCACAGGTGGACAAGATTGGCCGGGGCTACCAGGGGGACCCGTCGTCCGCGCTGCTGGAGCTGCTGGACCCAGAGCAGAATGCCAACTTCCTGGACCACTACCTGGATGTGCCCGTGGACCTGTCCAAGGTGTGGGCGGGGCGGGGCAGGGCAGGGCAGGGCAGGGCAGGCCGGGCCGGCCGGGTGTCTGGCGCCATCCCGCTCACCTCACCGGCCTGCCTGCCAGGTGCTGTTCATCTGCACGGCCAACGTCACGGAGACCATCCCCGAGCCGCTGCGGGACCGCATGGAGATGATCAACGTGTCCGGCTACGTGGCTCAGGAGAAGCTGGCCATCGCCGAGGTGAGGCGGCGAGCGCACAGGCACGGGGCTCGGGCCCATCCGGCAGTGCAGGGGACCCAGCTGGGAGGAGGCCGGGACCTCCGGGCTTCAGGGCCCAGGACTGCCCAGACACTGCCCGGGGGTTTGTGGGTCCCCTCGGCCCTGCCCCTCCTCACCATCCACCCCCTTCACAGCCCTGGGAGGCTCCCGTCCCCATCCCACCCTGACCTGACTTCCTGGTGGGTGGGGACAGCCGGGCTGGTAGAGAGGTCAGGCTGCGACTGTGTCCACCAGAGCGCAGCCCTGAGTCAGCCTGCGTGCGGGCCGCCTCGGCCGTGCAGGTGGAGCTGGGCACGGGGTAGCAGGAGCTGAGAAGCCTCAACTTCCCTGAGCACGGAGCTCCACATGGGGACTAGGGAGGCCTTCCTGGAGGAAGTGGTCTTAGTGGCTCAGTTACTGAAGGAGCGGAGTCTGAGTGCCAAGAGAACAGGCTTATTCCTCCTGGGTCCTGGAGGCCGACAAGGCCGAGGCGCAGGCCAGGCAGTTAGTCTGGCAGGCTTGGGGGTGCCCGGGAGAGGCCGGCCCTGACCCCGGGTCCTCCCGCAGCGGTACCTGGTGCCCCAGGCCCGCGCGCTGTGTGGCCTGGACGAGAGCAAGGCCCGGCTGTCGTCAGACGTGCTCACGCTGCTCATCAAGCAGTACTGCCGGGAGAGCGGCGTGCGCAACCTGCAGAAGCAGGTGGAGAAGGTGAGCATGCGCCCCACCCTGCCCCGCCCCTGCCCGCCCCTGCCCGCCCGGCCCCCTGCTCCTGC